CCTTGTGCAGGCCTTCACCCATCGGTGCACCAAGGTTCATCCACGAAGTTCCATCTTACTCTATTGCAGAAACTGGTCCGCACAGCGACTACGGAGATCGAAAGGAAAAATCAGAGAATGTGAGTAGTAAAAGAAAGAGGATTAGGGTTTAGGGTTTGAGAGAGGGAGAATGATCAGAAAGATTCAGGAAGAAAGCGAAAGCTACACAGCGAAGCTAAAGCAGTGTGAATTGTAATTCATTACCAAAACAAAGAAAATTCGATATTATAAATGATTTTCCTGAATTCTCTATTAATCACTTATATAATCAGGTTCTATGGATCTGATTGTAGTTTAGTTCTTATTGCATAATGAGACGTAGGTGATGTTTGATAAAATTGAAAATTAAGTACTAAAATTGAATGTTGAATCTTTTAAGCTCAAAAGTTATTTGATACAAATTTTAAGTGTTGAAACTATAACAAGTTGTTTGATATATACAAGATCGAATTTGAAATTTATTATTTTCAAATTGTATCTTTTAATTTTTAAATTATAATGGTGAGATAGTGAGCGGAGTGGTGGTGGCGGGGGCGGCGGGGGGTGGGTGGTGGTGGCGAGTGGGTGGTGGGTAGTGGTGGCGGGTGGGTAGTGGGTGGTGGTGCCGGAAGACGGTGGTGGAAAATAGTGACGAATGGTGGAAAGTGTTGGGTGATAAAAAAAAAAAAACTCAAAACTCAAAACGGAAATACATTTTTTGTGTTTTTATTTTTTGGCCAAATTTATAAACTGAGACTACTGATTTATAAATCAAAAATTTTACCAAATAAGTTTTTATTTGAGTTTTTTAAATTTTTGTAAATATAAATAGAAAATTGAAAACGTAAATGTTACCAAACAGCAAATATTTATGATTGGTTATTTATATGATTATAATTACTAAAAAAATAATATATGTAATACGCTAATATAAAATGATGAACAATATTAATAATTCCATTATCTTTGGAAGGAAGGGAAGATACTCTAGTGTGGCACCATACTTCTTCGGGGTCTTACTTAGTGAAATCTACCTACCATTTAGCTAAGTCCTCTCTTGAATATTTCCAGTGCATTTTCTCCATCCACCTCCTATATTGTGGGTGTTTGTTTCAGATTATTTTACCCAACTTATAACTTTTAACTTAAGAAAAGTATAAGCAAATTGTTTGTTAGACTTCAATTAGCTTAAACTTAAACTTCTATCAACTTATGCGGCGGGTAAAAGAGCTGAATTTCACAAGCTGCTTGGAGGTGCTTCAAATTCTCACCCCCAAGCGGAAGAGGGTAAAGATACTTAAATGCCCTTAGTGTTTTGAAGTATTTACTCTTATACCACCTATATATATTCTTGTTAGCCCTAATCTTTCTCTTTGGCAAGAGACAACGCAGTAGCATACCTGCGGCTCTGGTTCGCTTCCGGTGCTGGTTCACTTCTGGCGACGTGTGGCTCTAGTTTGTTTCCGGCTTTGGTTCACTTCTGGACGTGCGATTCTGGTTCGTTTCCAGCTCTAGATCAATTCTCTCTTCTCTCTTTCTCTCTCGCACTCTCGCTCTCTGTATTCAACTCTTTTCCTTCATCTCTCCCGATTTTTCCTTTTCTCTCTTACTTTGGATTCAACATGCATGTATATATATATATATATATATATGTATTGTTTTGGTTATTTGTGATTTTGTCTATTTCAAATTTGTTCAAATTGGAGAAAATAGGAATAGTTAGGGTTTAGGAAAAATTTGGAGAAATTTTATTCATGCTTTGATGTTAAAAATAAGTGTAGGATGTTGACTGCCATTGCATTGATTTTTGGCTTATTAATGTATCTAAGATTCTCTACAAACCTAAATTCAATTACAATCTTCTTCAAATCAAAAGATTCGAATCAATTAGTTTCCAATTCTTTTTCTTGATTTGTGTGTATGTGTGTGTGTTTGTTGTTAAAATTCATATTCAGAGCTCGACAATTGAAATTTTTTGGTTTGCTCTATGTAAATAGTGTTTGGTTGCCTAGAAAATTCTAGAGATAAAAGAATGAAACAAACTTTTGGATCTCACATTAATTTTAGCTTATTTTCCACACATTCAATAATGATCTATGGATATGTCGAAGTCAACTAGACGAAAAATAATTACTTTAAAAAGTTGTAATTTCAATTTTTTTAGCTATTTTTCTCTACACTTTCAGGGCAACCAAACGGAGCATTTCCCTCCCCTTGAATCTCATTTTTGAAAAATTGACATTTGTTTGTTTGTTTGTTTATTTTGCCAATGTACAAAAATTAACAACTATGATTGAAGACTATTGTTCTGGTACTACTATTAGGGTTTCTTTGCTACACTTATGTACTACTATTAGGGAACTGAGTTATGAGTTTGTAAGTTTTGGGTTAAATCACATCCAAGTTTTGATTCAAGAGTTGTTTGCTATTTAACTACTTCTGTAAGTGATAATTTAGTGGTGAACTTGATTCAAAGTGTAGGTGATACATTGGAAACCAAGTGGATCCCAAAAATTTTCTTAAAGGGTCTTCAATAATTTAAAATCGTTTAGTTTATAGATTATTGTTGACTATGCCAGTTACAGCAGTTGGCTAAGGAAGAAGAACAAATTCAAAATCGAAGTTAATCAAATCTTATGTTTAATCGATCATATTACAAGAAAGATTAAACAAATTAGTTATGTTATCTATTGAAAAGGATGTGGCGGATAAGTTAGGTAATGCATGTTCAATTTGTAATTTTGAAATTAACAATGCGAGAAAAATAATATTTAAGTGATATAAATCTCGAAATCAATAATGCCTGGCGTAAAAAGCCTAGGACCGTATTGATAGATTCTGTTGAAATCCTATTGTGTTGATTAAATTTTAATTTATGCTGTGATTTCAAATTTAGCAACAAGGAAAATATTTTTGATGATTTGTTTGTAAGTACTAGATACTATAATAAAAAAGGTCTTTGGTGACGAAAACGCATGATGAAAAAAAATTTCGTCTCCAAATATACATGTTTTAGAGATAAAAGTAAGATTTCATCTCCAATTATAGTATTTTTAGAGAGAAAAATTAAATTTCGTCACCAAATGCTTAAAATCAATAAAATAATAGGTGACAAAAATTTTATTCGTCTCTATATTTTATTTTTCGTCCCAAAAAAAATTCCCGCTCGTAGAAAATTTTGCAGAATATTTGAGTGCCATTTTAGAGATGAAAATTTTCATCACCATTGTACAAAAATTTTCCCGAGAAAATAATTTCGTCTCTTATAATTTTATTATACAAAACGATGTCATTTCATGCGAGCCTTCTTTGTTTGTCCAAATCAATTCCTATTTTGCAAAGCCCTCTGTGGGTGCCCTAATGTTTTTTGCTCAGAATAGTTAAACATTTGAAACTCCATTCTCGTTCCCCCACTCTCGTGGACTCGAACGGCACAAGTTTGTCCTCTTTTCTCTCTTCTTCTCTCTTTCTCACTCTCTCTCACTCTCCCGCAACGCCGACTGCACTAGCAGTGACGCGACCCCCTTTGTCTCCCTCTCCTCTGTCCTTCTTCTCTTCTCTAGTTGCTGCCTTCTTTTCTTTTTCTCTCCCTCCATCTCGCTCTCTTTCTCTCTTGCAGCGCCAACTGCACTAGCAATGGCACTGCCCATTGTCTCCCCCTTCTGGCTGCCCTCTCATTCTCCTCCATTTTTCCCCTTTTCTGATTTAGCTACTGTATGTTGATGGGTTTGGTGTGATTTTGATTAACTGTTTATAGGTTGCTGTGGCACAATCAGGTGGATTGGCCCGTCTTCTATCACAGGTAAGTGATTCACATCTTAGGGTTTTTTATCCCCAAACCTAATTTTCTAAACAGATGATTTGCTTGCACTTTCAAGATTTGGTTGTTTTTATTCTCTTTTCCTGTTTTTGATGGGTTTGGAGATGGCCTGTAGCATAGAGCTTCCTATCGCAATAGATTACTGGAAATACTTAAGGAGATTATAATTGAAGAAAAATTACACTTTAAGATTTGTAGAAGAAGAAATACAATAAACTAAAAAAATGAGATTTCATCATTTTTAATTTTCTAGGTTTTAAATTTCAAAAAAAATAATATTGGTAATAATTTTTTTTGCTTCTTTATTTCCAAGTGCAATTTATTTTATTTTATTATTTTTTTTTCCAAGTGTGATTATGGACATTTTGATGATGATGAACTGGGAAGGTGATTGGAGCCTCACTAGACCTTTGTAAGGTAATTTCAATTAACTATCAGTAAAATAACTAAAAATAATTTGCTTTTGTCACTTTTGCCATGTCAAAATAATTTGCTCTGTCAAAATAATTTGCTCTTTTTGTATAAATTGCTTCTTATTTCACATTTTTTTTTTCCCTTCTCAGTTGACAATGTCATTGCCTAATAAATAAGAGCAACCAATTGAATATGGATATTAGAAGAGTATGCTTCATGTGAGTAAAATTATTTTGACACATAACAATGAATTAACTGTGCCTAAAGGCAGTTCTCAATATATCTTTTTTTTAGTGTTTGCATTGGGTAATTGTATTTATTTATTTATTATATGTGTGTGCTTTGAATTGGCTATTGTGATATCTGAATTTTTAAACTCTTTTCTTTTTTTTTTTTATAATGTACATTTAGATTTTGTGTACAGTCTCCCTTTCCAAGATTATGTTGGGATGTTGGAATATACTTCAAAGTCAAAGGGAAATTAGCATTATTTGAGGAAGAAAAAAAAATGTCATTTTAGAAATGCAATGCATACCACAATTTTTTTTATTTTTTTATTTTTTCGTTGAATCATTTTTCTATTTTGGAATGATTTTTGTATTCATAGCTGTACTAAGTAGGTTACTCTAAATGACATAGATAAGTACTTCAATTATTTTTTTTTTTAATTACTTTAGTTTTTCATGGGAGATAAAATTGATATGTGAGTCTCTTTATTTTGCTATTTTATGACATTGCTGATAGGATATGAGTCCAAATGGCAGTTTGGGTGATTTCTGACGCAGCGGAATACACGGGGACTAGATATCGTTCTAGTAGACGAAAGGGGCTCTCGAATCTACGAGAAAAAATAGAACCTTGAATCCACAAGGAAAAGAAAATATCTTAATATTGAATGAAAAAATTCTCTTTGCCATGAGGCTTACATAGCTATTTATAATAAACCAAACCTAATACTTGTAGGAAAAGTAATTCTAAAATAAACTAGGAGACTTAAATCAATACAAATTAGGAAACCTGAGAGAATAGGAAACTAGAATTCTAAACTATTTAAAATCCTAGTCAAAATCTAATTCCAAAATAATAAAATTAAAAAACCTAATAATTCTATTCTAAAATAATAAAATTAAGAAACCTAATAATTCTAAAATATTTATACTAAATTACAAGAATCCTAATAATATATCAAAAATATTAAAACTAAAAAATATAAAAATTCTTAAAATCTTGTCCTGAAAATCTTGTCCTGCATCAGACTCCTCTTCTTTGAAAGAACTCGTCCTCGAGTTCATATTAGAGATCTGCCATCGTCCATCCCAAATAAAAAGATACTTGGAATACTTCAGTTGTTTGTCCCTCTTCTGAACATTATATGCAGAGAAGTTTACTTTCTGAAAGTTGTTCTCTATATGCTTCAACTGGTTGACAAGATCAATTAGACAAGCATTGAAAATCAAATTAAATTGCTCCACACCAAGAAAATCAACGAAGTGTATTTTATGTTGATGTTGGATACTCTTTGGACTCTGCTCTGTCTTAGAATCAGTTGGATATTCAATTATCAATCTTGGAATATCAATTGCAACATCCTCAATCAACTTCTTTGGTGCACATGTCAACTTTATTACCTCATCTTTTATTTCTTCTTTTCCATTGAGTTCAACTAGATCTCCTTCTTTTGCGATCTCATAACCATCATAATAATCAAGAGATGATAGTTCCGTCATTAGAAGCTCTTGGCTACCTTCAACGTTTTTCTCTTGCTTCACCTTTTCATTGTCTTCTTCAAACATCTTGATCAAAATAATTTCAGTGACCTCTCGTTCATCAATTTCAACGTTCTCGCCATTATTGAAATCAACTTGATTTTCTACTTCAATTGAATGTCTGTTTGGGCTTTCAAAATTTTGAAACATTGAGATATTCAAAACCTTTTCTTCTTCAATGTGTGGTGGAGCGTAACAAATTTGTTGACCTATAAGACTTGATTGACCCAAACTTGGCAAAGCCGTAGTCATGTTTCTCGAATAATCTTTATCCACAATTGCATAATAATTATTGAGTTGCGAAGAATATTGTGAATCAGAATTACCTTGGAACAATTGTTTCGATTCAAGCTTTCTTTGATATTGTTGATACAATATTTGCCCATGATTTGATTGAAGGAATCTAGAACTCATCAACTTCTTCATCTTATGCCACGTCCTAATGGGTTGTTTGTATTGTCGCCTTCGACCATATTGCAATTGTTTCCACCATGTAGAAACATAACCTTGTAACTTACGTGCGACATATTTGGCTTGCTTTTCTTCAGAGATTTCCATACACTCAAGGAATTTGTCAACTTTACGAAACCAATAAATAAAATCCTCTGCATGACAAGAAGCATTAAAATAGGGAATTTCTAGTGGTACTTGATAATTTGAAAAGTCATGATTGATACAATTATTGCTATTGAACACATCACTGAATCTTCGTTGTTGCCTTACCGACTGATATTCACCATAATACTCGAATAACTCATCTTTAGATTTATCCTCATTATCATATTGATAATAAGAAGATCGTCTCAAGACGTTGTGGTTAATAGGTTGGCCTTGGGCAAATCTCATAGCACGGTTCCTATTAACATTGTGACTAACAGGTTGGCCTTGGGCAAATTCCTTGACTCGAATCCTATTAGATCTTTCTCTATGATCATCGTCAATAGAGCTTGTGCTTCCTCTTTCGATGAATGACATCGAGCCAGGAGAAACCTTGCTCTGATACCACTTGACGCAGCGGAATAAATCACACGGGGACTAGATATCGTTCTAGTAGACGAAAGGGGCTTTCGAATCCACGAGAAAAAATAGAACCTTAAATCCACAAGGAAAAGAAAATATCTTAATATTGAATGAAAAAATTCTCTTTGCTATGAGGCTTACATAGCTATTTATTATAAACCAAGCCTAATACTTGTAGGAAAAGTAATTCTAAAATAAACTAGGAAACTTAAATCAATACAAATTGGGAAACCTAAGAGAATAGGAAACTAGAATTCTAAACTATTTAAAATCCTAGTCAAAATCTAATTCCAAAATAATAAAATTAAGAAACCTAATAATTCTAAAATATTTATACTAAATTACAAGAATCCTAATAATATATCAAAAATATTAAAACTAAAAAAATATAAAAATTCTTAAAATCTTGTCCTACATCAATTTCGAAGATAGGTAATGGTTATTTCACAATTAATAGTTTTTGTTTTTGCAAGAAAATGGGATGCAATTTCAAGAACTTGAGTTTTTTTCCCTTCTTTTTCTCTCTCTTTAACAGGCTATAGAGAAGCAAGAGTTAGGACGAACGAGTACATGATCTTTGATGATGAAAGTTATTGTGCAGGATGAGTACATTGAGTAATCATTTTAGTACAATTCTTTCATGCTATTCATATTATGAACATTTGGTGATTTCATAAATTTCAAACCAAATTGACTATAATTTTAAACATTAGCATTGTTCAGAATGCCTAAATTTTCCTAAATCTGTTACAACTATAACTTTTGCGTAATCTTCAAGTTAAATATAATCAAGTTTAGGTGAATGTTTTTCTTTGAACACTTATTAGTTATGCTATGTTTTTCTTTGAACGTTTTGCCCTCAGGTTTTGCAGATCTTGTAATCAAGTTTGATCTTAAGGTGACTCTTCACAAAGGCCTTAGGCATGAATTGATGTGCAGGTATCTTCTACACATTGATATATATATATATATACACACGCATGTACACAATCACACACGTGGATGAGGTTAAGGGTGAGCCTACTGGAAACTGATAATGGTCTTAAGAGGTTGAACCTACTGAAAACCCGGATATATTATATTTGTTGTATGGGTTGTTGGTAGAGGTTGCGGGTGAACTTACTGAAAACCCATATATATTGTTTTATTTATTGTAGCATTATTGAAAACCCATATATGTTAAATGGAAATGCAACGTCAAGAAAAAAGAAAAAGAAATGTAACCAATTAAATATCTATTACATCTTCATAAGTCATAATAATATATGCATGGATATAGGATGGGACCCCCGGTTTGAAAACTATGTAGAAAAATAACACTACAACAAAACTGACTTTTTACGACACCACATCAACGGCATACAATAAATGCATGCCGTAGTTTCTCACTTTTACGACTTGCTTTTTTTGCACGTTGTAAATACTCTTCCAACCACGGTGTGTCTATTGCGTAGGCTATAAATGGTAATAACGATGATTTTTTTACGGCTTGCAATGCACGCCGTAAATAATAATACTTTCTACGACGTGCATATAGCGTGATGTTAATACATACATCAATTATACACGACGCACATATGCCAGCTGTGAAAAGTGAATACTTTTCACGGCGTACACAACGCTCGCCGTTAAAAGTATTGCTTTTTTTACGACGTACATATCGCCTACTGTTAAAAGTATTGCCTTTTTACGACGCACAATGCATGTCGTGAATTGTATGTTTAAAAAAAAAAGCGCCAAAATAAAATTTTGCTAGCGCCAATTCACCAAAAAAAAATATATATATATATTAGAAAAAAAACATATACATCAATTGAGAGGAGGGCAACCAACCAAGTTTCTAATTTTTTTAATTGTGAAACCAAAGACAAAAGTAATTTTTTTTTTTTTTAGTTTTGGGGTTTGGTAAAATGACTTCTCGTTTGGAAAATAAATTGTTACATTTTATCGAAGAGGCAGAAGCAAAACCCTAAAGAGACTTGCTTGCAAAACCCTAACCCTAATTCAACTTCTAGATTGAGGGTGAGTTCTTTGAATTCTAGGTCTGGTGGGTCAGTATCAATTGATTGTTTGCAGAACAAAGAGGGTGGGGTTAAAGAGGAAAGGAATCAAGAAAACAAAAAATGTTGATGTGGGTGGTGCTGAAACTTCGTTTGGAGGAAATGTGTTGGAATTTGAAGGTACGGAGATGTGGGTTTCTCGTTTAATTGGTTTTTTTTTTTTAATTTGTTAAAAGCATCATTCTCTGATCACAATTACGGGTTTTCTTACGGCAGGACAAAAATGATGGATTAGTGTGAGAAGCTCTGCCATCTCTCTAGAAATTCCTAAATTTCTATGGTTCCAATATCTCGTTGATGACAAAAGTACGGTCACTGTTTATGGAAGGGGCTTCTTCTAGGGCTCTAGATAAAGCAAGGGTTTTGACTCTACCTGAGAAATTGGGTTTAGGGCAAGATGAACTGGTGGGTATTTCTAATAAGGGTGGATCTTCCAGTAATCCTAATAGTGTGAACATGGGGGGTGAAGGTAGTCTCAGTCCTAGTGCGAAATCTTTTGTTGTGTCAATGGAGGGTCTACGATCGAAGATTTGAGCGATGGACTCAGAAGGTTCTGCTTCAGTGTTCAATTTGCTCCAGTCTAGATGGTCGGACGTAGTTGAGATGGAAGGAGGAGAGGAGGCTGTCATTGATAGATTCAAAGACCTTCCTAATAGCCTGGCTAGGAATCTGGTATCTAAACTTAATCAACAAGAGGTTTCTTCAGGCAAGATTAGGGGAAAATCGTATCTGAGTGCAGATATTCCATGGGCTGCAGGGGCTCAAAGTTCTAGGAGTCGACAAAAGGAAGGTAGATCGGGATTATCTGCTACCAGTAGATGAGGCAGAGGAGGTCGGGGTCAGGGACCTTACCCAGGTGGACTGAATAAATTTCCAGCAGCGGTGAGGGAGGAGATAGCACCTAAGCCTGTTGAAAAGAGCTAGGCATCTGTTGTTGCATTAAATCAGAGGTCATTTGTGAAGTTAAGGTACTCTCCTCCCTCTGTAGTGGAAACTAATATAGTTATTGGTCTTCATAAAATGGATGATATTGAAAAATGGGAAGAAACTCTCGTGGGCCATTTTTTGGCCAAAAATATGAATATTGCATATATTAGGGTGAACCCTCAATTGAATATATTTATACTTCTTGTTTCCTTTTTCTTGTTTTCATTTATCTCTGTGTAGCTTGAGGCAAAACACTTTCACACACTGTTTGGTTGTTGAGAAAAAGTTGGGTAAGAAAAGAAACTATAATATGCTCTACTTTCTTTTGGATTGTTTGGAGGCAGGAACTTTTACTCCTAAGATAACTACTCTTGATTAAGTTGATGTCCTCTTTTTTTTTGTCGCTTAGACAACCATTTCCATTTTACTCTCTTTCCCAGGTGGATTGGTTCTTTTAGAACAACATTCAACAACCTAATAATTATGTGGTTGTTTGTGTTTTCATTTTTACTTTCTGGTGTAAGTGTCTCAGAATTGTTGTTGATTTATTCGAACTTCTTTGTTATGTTTTTCATGTTTTTTTAACTTTCATTGATGACTTGTCTAGTAAAACAGTAGTAATTCTAAAGAACTTTATGATGTTCATCATTCCCTCACCAATATATTGTTCTCTCTTAATTTTTTGTAGTTCTTTCCCCTGATCTGTCTCTATCACTTAGTGGAGGGAAAAATAAGTTGAAACATTTGTGTTTCGGAGACATATTCAGCATGCCTTAGTATCCATTTTCATAGTCTGGGATATTTCTCAAACATTTTTAGGGTCTTGAGATGAAGCAGTTATTTTAGTTCATTATCTGGTCCCCATTTCAATTAACTATTCCTCCTAGTTTGCCTATTATATAATGTTTTTTTTATGGATATTTGCCCAATTTTTGAGTTGCTTTTTTTTTTTTGGCTGCGTTGGAGGGGAAGTCAAGCATATGACCTCCTAGTGAGTGAATATTTTTTTTGGAACATTGATGGTTTTAAGATTTGGCATTTGCATGTGTATTACTAGAAAATCGTTTTATTGAAGTGTGTGTATATATATATATATTTAGAAGATCATATATGCATGTGTATTACAGCCTTTTTGCAGGAATCTTGGTGATTAAATCATTTCCTAGTGGAAAAAGGTTTCTCATTACTTTCACATAAGCATGATCAAATGCATTTGGTGTGTGGTCTTTTTAAAGTGCAAAATTACAAATGATTAGTAGGGCCCCGCTTCATATTGGAGCAGTGGTTCAGAGATGAAAACCTGGTCTGCATCTTGCTACTGTGGATTTGAAAGGCAAACCATATGAGTATGTCTCTCTCATGATTTTTAAAATGCTTTCTTGACGTTTTATTTTCCTCACATTTTTATAGTGGGAAATGCTGCTGGATTTTTATAGATGGTCCATTTTATTATACTAAAACACTATTTGGTTTTTTTAGAATATGTTTTCTAAATAACTACACACTAGTTTGGTGAAAAAACTAGGTGTAGCTTGAATGGTTTGGTGAAACTGTTAAAACCTACCATCACCTACTCCACCTACTACACCTACCACCACCTACTACCACCTACTCCACTACATCTCCTATATAAGGAGCCCCTCACCATTTGTAAAACATAACATTCAATCAATCAATAATACATCAATTTTAACATGGTATCAGAGCAAGGTTAGCTCTTGGTGATCTTCACCTTCCGGCGGGTGGCAACCTTGCCTTCACCGCCCGCCGGACCCCAACCATGCTTATTGAAACCTCCATCAACTCCATTACCTTCTGGTCCGTCATCTCCAACCGCAATCAATCTTGACAAGTCACCATGGGTCGCATGCACAGTCGCGGTAAGGGTATCTCCGCTTCGGCACTGCCTTACAAGACAAACACCTCCCAGTCTCATCATATATCTTGTTCTTTTGCTCTCGCTGTTCTGTTCCTCAACTCCGCGGCGTAGATCCGAGGAGTTTGGGAAAACCCTAACCCTAGCCAAAAAGCGATCGATCTCAGTCACAAGCTCTCCATCTCTATCTTCCTCACAGTTCTTCAGCGACCTTTCACTGCTATCAGACATGGCTGGCTTGGCCCCAGAGGGTTCTCAATTTGACGCTCGTCAGTATGATGCCAAAATGAGTGACTTACTTGGGACGACTTATGGAGAAGAATTCTTCACTTCGTATGATGAAGTTTATGACAGCTTTGATGCGATGGGCTTGCAAGAAAATCTCCTGAGGGGCATTTATGCCTATGGTTTTGAGAAGCCCTCTGCAATTCAGCAAAGGGGGATAGTTCCCTTTTGCAAAGGACTTGATGTAATTCAACAAGCACAGTCCGGAACTGGAAAAACTGCAACTTTCTGCTCTGGAATTCTGCAGCAGCTTGATTATGGTATAGTTGAATGCCAAGCGTTGGTTCTTGCACCCACTCGTGAACTTGCTCAGCAAATTGAAAAGGTCATGCGAGCACTGGGTGACTATCTTCATGTGCTACAGGCTCTGCTTCAGATTAGCATACACAGCTCTCTCAAAATAAAAAACAACACAGTTCTCTCTCTCTCTCTCTCTCTCTCTCTACTCAAGGACATCCACCAGGGTGACCACTTTCCAACCCCTTATCCACCACCTTTTGCACATACCCATACCCTTTTTTATTTTTTAAACCAATCTCCACCAAACAAGCCAGACAGACTACTTATCACCAAACCACTTGCAGCACATGTATGGCCATTATAATATTACAATATGCTAGCAAAATCAACCCACATGAACCACTTACAACTCCTCTTCGGTTTTGCAGCATACATCACTTGGTCCTATTGATATATATATATATATATATATATATAAAAGATGGCCACAATCATCATGCTGACCATACACCATCCTATAAAATAATAATTCTCCACACACTCACAATTTGACCCATTCTTTTTATTATTATTATTTTTTTATATATTTTTGATGGCACGTCTTTTGATGGCACGTCTTTTGATGGCACGTCTTTTGATGGCACGTCTTTTGATGGCACGTCTTTTGATGGCACGTCTTTTGATGGCACGTCTTTTGATGGCACGTCTTTTGATGGCACGTCTTTTGATGGCACGTCTTTTGATGGCACGTCTTTTGATGGCACGTCTTTTGATGGCACGTCTTTTGATGGCACGTCTTTTGATGGCACGTCTTTTGATGGCACGTCTTTTGATGGCACGTCTTTTGATGGCACGTCTTTTGATGGCACGTCTTTTGATGGCACGTCTTTTGATGGCACGTCTTTTGATGGCACGTCTTTTGATGGCACGTCTTTTGATGGCACGTCTTTTGATGGCACGTCTTTTGATGGCACGTCTTTTGATGGCACGTCTTTTGATGGCACGTCTTTTGATGGCACGTCTTTTGATGGCACGTCTTTTGATGGCACGTCTTTTGATGGCACGTCTTTTGATGGCACGTCTTTTGATGGCACGTCTTTTGATGGCACGTCTTTTGTGGGCGCGCCTTTTGATGGCACGTCTTTTGATGGCACGTCTTTTTATGGATTGGGCACGCCTTTTGATGGCACGCCTTTTGATGGCACGCCTTTTGATGGCACGCCTTTTGATGGCACGCCTTTTGATGGCACGCCTTTTGATGGCACGCCTTTTGATGGCACGCCTTTTGATGGCACGCCTTTTGATGGCACGCCTTTTGAAAAATTGAGCGCACCTTTTGAGGATGCGATTTTTTTATGGGTCCGACAAGACTCTGTAAACTGTCTCGACATTGATTCCGGTTAGCTCCTTTATGGGTCTGACAAGACTCTGTAAACTGTCCCGACATTGATTCCGGTTAGTTTCTACAAGGGTCCAGCAAGACTCCGTAAACTGTCACAACAACTGTCACAACATTGTCTGCTACAACGGTCCCAACGGTCCGACATGACCCCATAAACTGTCTTCTACATCGGTCCAACACGAGCCAGTGTCTTCTACATCGGTCTGCCATAACCATACAGTCTTCTACAACGGTCTGACACGACCATACAGTGTCTCCTATCCATTTTTTATTTTTCAGATTATTTTCTTGTTTTGTTACTCTCTCCAAACTCAAGTTGGTTAGTTCCTATCCCCCTTGAGTTTGCGGGGGGCTGTTAAAACCTACCATCACCTACTCCACCTACTACACCTACCACCACCTACTACCACCTACTCCACTACATCTCCTATATACTAAAAATTTGAAACTAGTTTGGTGTTCATAGAGAAAGAACAAGCAGCCAAAGAAACTAGTAAGAGAAAAAATAAAATAAAAGATAACTCATTCAATGGTCCATAGATTTTCTGCTGTAATATTATTTTTAGTGTTTTGGCTACACAATCCTTAGTTAGCTGCAAGCAAATCAACAAATTCATATTGTAGGAACTAGGCCTCTAAATAATTTGGAGCTTGCTGCCCCTCTCCTACTTTTCCTTCAATTTTTGTATCTTAATAATATTTTGATTTCAATTACAGTTCTTGCTGGTTAGAGAGCCAAAGACAAGCAACTTTGCTACTTGGGCAATTTGCTGCCATAGATTCAGACTGTAAAGTGGAATGAAATAGTTAAAATTAAATTTTAAATTTTTTGAACACATCCCATTCACTGTTATACATTCTTATAGTTTTATATATGATTTGTGCAGGTGCACATTGTTCAAAAAGGTGTTGTCCAACAACTAATTGAGATGCTTCAATCCCCACAAGCACCAATGAGAGAGTCAGCATTTGCGTTGGGAGGTTGGCACATGTTTTTATCCTAATTGAGATGTTTTTGTTTTGTATTAAAAAAAAAAAGGTTTAATTTGAATGAGGTCCAAATATCTTGGTTTTATTTTATTTTATTTTCCTTAAGAGATTGAAAAGGTTTTGTGTAATTTTCTATTTGCGAGCAAACAGTTCGCCGATTGGCCGAAATGTATTGTGCGAAGGTCTCTGGTGTGCTGATGGGTGTTTTGATGTGGGTGTTTTGTTTGTAGGGTGTTTTTGCTTCTTGGCTGATGGGTGTTTTGTTTCTTGGCTGCTCAGCCATGCTTAGTTCTTGATGGTTGATGCTGGAATCTGTTAGCAATGTTTTGGCCATGTTTCTTAGGTGAAAAAAGAAGTATTTACTCTGTGGTGGCTGATGTTGCTGTTGTTTTTTTCTTTTTTGATATCCTCTTCCTGCTGCTATGGGTTGCTGCTGGTATGTGTGGGCAATGCTCTTTTTATCTGGCTACTGTAACTGATTTTATTTGTATGTGTTTAGATTTGGTTAGATTTGGCTGCTACTATGGCTGCTGTTGCTCTGGGTTTTGGTATGTTTTAGATTTGGTCACTTCTCTATCTGTTAAAGGTCAGTTTTCAGGAATCTGAACAGCTGTGCTTCCTTGCTTGTTCTATATGTTTATCAGACTTTGCAATCTGCAGGAAGTTCTAGAAAACAGTAAGAAATTGAATAGAAACTTTAAAGGACATATTCAAAGAAATTTGAATCTATGTTTTTTTGCATAGTGAAAAGTTGAGCAATATTATTATGTTAGATAAATAATGTTAATTAAAATTAAGCTTTCACACCTTCTGATATGAATGTTTCTTTGATTGTCAGCTGCTAGTGTGGCTTCTCAATGGTTGGAACTCCTTCATCAAGACACTAAAGGGCATCTTGCTGGTAATGTACTGCTTATCAGTGAAGATTTTACTCATCTTTGATTAGAACTCCTTTATACATGTATGGTTATGTACTGCTTTCTGTACTTGCAGCATTGCGATGAGAATAAGCTATCACCCATTTCATTTTGTCCATTTTGTCTACACATGTCTCTACACATAGATATGATCTCTTTGAGAATAAGCTATGATGTGTATTGAAAATATGCTATCACCCATTCTTAATATTCACTTAATATTATGCACTTGATGAATATTAGGCATGATCATGCTTCTTTGCAAAAAGAATTCCGAATGATTTCTGTGAAATAGTTTTGAAATGGTTCTTTTTCTATGAAATGATTTCTATTGGTTTCTCTTTAATGGGTTTGAGGGGTTTCTAATACATTGAAATAAGATGATGGATTTGATACATGATCACAATTGTTTTGTTTGCTTGAATGGTTATTTATCTTAAACAGCTAACTATTTTGTCTTTACAAAACACTGCTATCTCTTATTTCAATCGATTTTTTTTTTTTTTTTTTTTTTTTTTTTTTTTAAAGATGAAATGAAACACTGCTATGACAATTTTTCTTTTTCAATTTAGATACTGCATTAAATTAGGAAATGCTTTAGCTTTTTACAATGGTTTATTTAGCTAACCAAACTTGAATGGCGAAAAAAGATTCATATAGCTGACTCCACTTGATTGGGACACAAGGCTTAGTTTGGTTTGGTTTGTTATAATAGTTTATTTAACAAAATATTGTCTAGTGGCATACTGAATTTCAACATTTTTCTTCATTGCAAATGTTGTGTAAATTTTTGTCTTGTATGCTCATTTTTTCCCCTGCATGTTGCAGTTAGTTTAGAAGCAATACAAATGGTTAATGTTCAATTATTTGGGACTCGTGGAGCTCACATCTTAGGGATATAATGATATGGGGATCAGATATGTTAGCAACCAAGCGAGGGAAGTCATGTAGTCGTCTCATTTCTTTTACCGAGCCAATGAACCGTCTTGACTTTGATACAGTAGCAGGTTTATTTACTTATTTGGTAGGTTATAAATAATAATAAAAAAATTTGTTTGGCCACTTTATAAAACTCTCTGACTGGAAGATTTTGTGATTTGGTGGGTCAATATGGGTTCGATAATGAAAAAATTATTTATGTCTATTATATTTAGTTCACATATGTTGTTACGTTCTTGAGCATACTGCTTTGATGTTATAATTAGGTTTTAGTGGTTATCTTTTTCTTTTTCTTTTTCTTTTTCTTTTTTTTTCTTCTCTGTACATGTGTTTAAGAACTAAGAAGTAAACTATTGCAATGGCTACTTGTCATTCTGTTTGCAAGATGGCATATTTCATTCTGGCATTATCTTTTTGCTGTTAAAAGATTTTCCTGAATGCTACTATCTTGACAAAGTGGCTATAATGTGTTCATTTGGTTTTGTGATCGGTTAGATCTTCTGTCAGCTTGTATGTGTTACACTTTTATTTTCTTTTTCCATTTTTTTTGTGTGCTTATGGATGTTCTGATAATGTCTTCAATTTACCAATTATGTTGGATGAAAATCTCCTGCATGGTTTTTTAACATGGTCCATAGCGTCTGACATAGTTGTAGAGGGAAAATTCATTTTGAGCCATTACTTTTTGTATTTGCAGCTTCATTTCAGAATACACAAGGAACTCAGGATGAGGCTGATCCAAATAATATAACTGTGCGTACTTTCTTTTCTTTCTTTTAATCTCTCAATTTTTCTTTCTTTTGGAGAGAATGGGGCTGATATGCTTGTAGACAACAATTTGCATGGCCAAATATTTGTTGGTGGTGTGAATGAAAGTGTTTCAGATGACCAACTCAGGTAAGTTTTCAACCCATATAGGCAATTAGTCCATGGCCAGATAATTTATTTAATCCAGGCTGCTTATAATGTTGGAGGTCATGTAGTAAGTGCAGTTACAATACATAATTCTATCCTTGGATGCCACATGTCTCATCCTAGACAGGTATATCCCTTGCTATAGGTTTTGTTTTGAAGCCTTTTTCCGTTCTTGAAGTCCTTGGTGTTTATTTTGTTATAGTCTTTGAAGTCAAGCTTTTACTTCTCATATCTTTTATATATGAAAAGTAAAAGCTTTTACTACATCAGATCAAGCGTGTTATACGATATTAAGATTCCTATTAGATTGAAGGGACAATTTTGTGGGACTGTTACTAGGCTTGTTATGATGTATATTGTATTGAATATTGGCAGTTAAGAAATAACATGTTTAGTAAACAAAATAAGTTGAAATGAGAATGTTTGGATGGATGAGTGGTGTGACAAGAAATGATTCCTCAAGAAACATTTTTGTCCCTGAGTTGTTAGTTTTTGTACTAATGTGAAATTTTCTTTGTCATGCAGACAAGAAATGCAACAGGGTTAGTTGCTCCAGCTATTGCTGTGGGTTTAGGTGCCTTAACACATACATTGGGCACCCTCGTCCCTGTGATAGGAGCAAGTGGATTTGCTACAGCTTCAGCAGCAACTGTTATAGGAACTGTTGTCGGTAGTTTTAGATAATCTCTTAATAGTTGTCGATATGTTTAGAAAGTTAGATATGTATAGTTTTGGATGGTTTAAACTTTTTGTACCGTTTAGAACTTAAGGATATAGTTTTCGAATGTTTGGAATGTGTAGATAATTGTTGAATGTTTATAATTTATAGATATAGGTTCTTTGTGATGTTTCAAATAATATTTTGGTGGTTGATTGATGTTTTGTGAATGCTTGTTTGTAATATTTGTTAGATTGTACAAAATTGGTCAAATAGAACCTGCTGAATTAAAAATTAAAAAAAAAATTTGCATATTCTACGGCGGATATAATAAGTCGTTGTATTACATATTTTACGACACGCAATCAGCGTCGTTATTTGTCTCACCAATTAATGGCGTACAAAAGTAGTTGTAGAAAAAGTAACAACGACGCACAAAATCTGTTGTTAAATAGTTTTTAACGGCGTACGAAGCATATCGTTGAAAGTGAATAACTTTCCATGACTGGTCATAATATGACGCGCGATGTATGTCATAGAAGGATTTTTATGGCATGCATTGTGCGCCGTAAAAACTCTTTTTTGTTGTAGTGTAAACTTTTTAAAACTAAGTCCAAAAATGTAATTTTCTAATACTTAGGCTTGAAAATAGGCCATCGAGAGATAAAATCGTGAAAAAACCATGAGAAAGCCTGAGAACACCCCTAACACCTTGGGAGGGACCAATGTAAATTATGAAAACATATAGAACTAGCACGGGACTCCCGGTTTAAAAACTAAATCAAGAAATGCAATTTTCCAACACTTAGGGTTAAAAATAGTCATCGAGGGCCAACATCATGTAACAGCCATTAGAAGGCCCAGGGAACACCTCAAAAACTTTGGGAGGGACCAATGTAACTTGTAAACTTACGAAACTAGCACGGGACTCCAATTTGAAAACTAAGTCAAAAAATGCATTTTTCAAACACTTAAGTTTGAAAATAGGCCATTGGGGGCCAAAATCAAGTAACAGTCACGAGAAAACCTAGAAAAAACCTCAAATACCTCAGGAGGGACCAATGTAAGTTGTGAAAACTTACGGAACTGGTGCGGGACTTCCGATTTGAAAACTAAGTCAAAAAATATATTTTTCCAACACTTAAGCTTGAAAAGAAGCCATCGGGGGCCAAAATCATGTAATAGCCACAAAAAGGCTCGGGAAATACCTCAAACACATCAGGAGGGACCAACATAAGTTGAGAAAACTAATGGAACTAGTACGGGACTCCCGATTTGAAAATCTGTATCTGGCAAAGCAGTCCATGTTTGGCACTTCTTTCAAAAATCTGTTTTCTTAAAACGATTTGCCGGATTTGGACTCTTTGGTTCAGATTTAGAACCGTGACTACAAAGTCGAGTCCGAGCTGTAGCGAGGTCCCCCGCGGGCTTGTTACAACGGGACTCCCGATTTGAAAACCAAGTCAAAATATGTACTTTTCCAACACTTAAGCTTGAAAATAGGCCATCGGGAGCCAAAATCATGTAACAGCCACGAGAAGGCCTAGAGAACACCTCAAACACCTTGGGAGGGACTAATGTAAGTTGTAGAAACTTACGAAACTAGCATGGGACTCCCGGTTTTAAAACTAAGTCAAAAAATATACTGTTCTAACACTTAAGCTTGAAAATAAGCCATCGGGGACCAAAATCACGTAACAGCCATGAGAAGGCCTGGGGAATACCTCAAACACCTCAGAAGGGACCAATGTAAGTTGTGAAAACTTACGAAAATAGCACGGGACTCCCGGTTTGAAAACTAAGTCAAAAAATGTACTTTTCCAACACTTAAGCTTGAAAATAGGCCATCAGGGGCCAAAATCATGTAACAGCCATGAGAAGGCTCGGGGAACACCTCAACCACCTCTGGAGGGACCAATTTAAGTTGTGAAAACTTACAAAACTAGTATGAGACTCTTAGTTTGAAAACTAAGTCAAAAAATGTAATTTTCCAACACTTCAGCTTAAAAATAGGCCATCGGGGGCCAAAATCATGTAACAGCCACGAGAAGGCATGGGGAACACCTCAAATACCTCGGGAGGGACCAATGTAAGTTGTGAAAACTTACGGAACTAGCACGGGACTCTTGATTTGAAAACTAAGTCAAAAAATATACTTTTCCAACACTTAAGCTTGAAAATAGGCCATCGGGGGGACAAAATCATGTAACAGCCAATAGAAGGCTTGGGGGACACCTTAAATACCTCAGGAGGGATCAATGTAAGCTATGGAAACTTACAGAACTAGCACAGGGCTCCCTGTTTGAAAACTAAGTCAAAAAATGCACTTTTTCTACACTTAAGTTTGAAAATAGGCTATTGGGGGCCAAAATCATGTAACAGCCACAAGAAGGCCCGGGAAACATGTCAAAAACCTCAAGAGGGACCAATGTAAGCTGTTGGAACTAACAGAATTAGTACGGGACTTCCGGTTTGAAAACTAAGTCGAAAAATGTACTTTTCCAACACTTTAGCTTGAAAATAGGCTATCGGGGGCCAAAATCATATAACAGCCACAAGAAGGCCTAGGGAACACCACGAACACCTCAAGAGGGACCAATGTAAGTTTTGAAAACTTACGAAACTAGCACGGGACTCCCAATTTGAAAACTAAGTCAAAAAATGTACTTTTTCAACACTTAAGCTTAAAAATAGGCCTATAGGGGTCCAAAATCATGAAACAACCACAAGAAGACCTAGCAAACACTTCAAAAACCTCAGAAGGGGCCATTGTAACTTATGTAAACTTACAGAACTAGCACGGGGCTCCCGATTTGAAAACTAAGTCGAAAAATACATTTTTCCAACACTTAAGCTTGAAAATAGGCCATCGCGGGCCAAAATCGTGTAACAGCCATGAGAAGGCTTGGGGAACACCTTAACCACCTCTGCAGGGACCAATATAAGCTGTGAAAACTTACAGAACTAGCATAGGACTCCCGGTTTGAAAATGAATTAAAAAAATATTACTTTTTCAACACTCAAGCTTGAAAATAGGCCATCGGGGGCAAAATCGTGTAACAGCCAAGAGAAGGCCTGAAGAACACCTTAAACACCTTGGAAGGGACCATTGTAACTTGTGTAAACTTACGAAACTAGCACGGGGCTCCCTTTTTTAAAACTAAGTTGAAAAATGCATTTTTCCAACAGTTAAGCTTCAAAATAGGCCATTGTGGGCCAAAAACGTGTAACAGCCACGAGAAGGCCCGAGGAGCACCTCAAACATCTCAGAAGGGACCAATATAAGTTGTGAAAACTTACGGAACTAACACGGGACTCTTGGTTTGAAAACTAAGTCGAAAAATGTATTTTTCCAACACTTAAACTTGAAAATAGGCCATCGGGGGGGCCAAAATCATGTAACAGTCACGAGAAGGCCTGGGTAACACGTCAAACACTTCAGAAAGGACCAATATAAGTAGTGGAAACTTACGGAACTAGCACAGGGCTCCCGGTTTGAAAACTAGTCAAAAAATGCATTATTCCAGCACTTAAGCTTGAAAATAGGCCATCAGGGGCCAAAATCATGAAACAATCACGAGAAGTCCTGGGGAACACCGCAAACACCTCAGAAGGGACCATTATGACTTGTGTAAACTTACAAAACTAGCACAGGGCTCCCGGTTTAAAAACTAAGTCGAAAAATGCATTTGTTCAACACTTAACCTTGAAAATTGGCCATCTGGGGCCAAAATCGTATAACAGCCACGAGAAGACCTGGGAAATACCTCAAACACATCAAGAGGGACCAATAAAAGTTGTGGAAACTTACGGAACTAGCACGGGTGTCACGACCTAAACTCGCCTCTATAGGTTTAGCGTCGTAATTGGCTAGTAATCTTTAGATTACCAAAGGCCTCTTAATAGAATGACATATAATAAGGGGCTGAGAAAGCAAATATAGAAAATGTACAATGTCCATAGAGCTATGTTGACGGATATGAGACAGGAATCTTCAAAAGAAACTTATACATATATAATATAAATACATGTGACGTCATAAACACATTAGTCATACGTCACCCATTTATACATTTGAAGCCAATAGGGGACTTAGCCCAATGTACAGATAGGCAAAACAAAACAAAAACATCTGTAGCAAGGTTACAAAACTAAACATTCAAAGGGAACCTCCCCTGGAGGCATTGTGGCTGGCTGACCCAAAACTCCATGCAGTAGCTTAGGCTTGGTCACGCGTCTGCTCACCTACATACATAATATAAAAAATGAGTAGAAGCCCAATGAATAATAATAGAGTGAAGGGTTTAAATGATCGATGTCCATAACAAATTCAAAAATTAGAATTCATATCAAATATATATATATATATATATGTATATATATATTCTTGTTCGAACTTCATATAGAAATCAGAGTTCATGCTTAATCATACATGGTACATCCATTAACATTATCATGCTTATTAGTTCCGTAAGGAACCTTCGGTATTGGGAACTTGTAATATGCTTGAGCCATGGTATTGTTACCCCCGGGGCAAGGGCCATGAGACCACAGTATTATTACCCCCGGGTAAGGGCTTTGCTTAGATAAAAGGCATGGTATTGTTATCCCCGGGCAAGGGCCTTATACTTGTAGACCACGATATTATTATCCCTAGGCAAGAGCCTTGTGCTAAGAATGCCACGAATATATTTCAGAAATTTGGACAATCATTCATTCATACAAAATATCGCATTTCAAAAAATTGATCATTTCATAACATCAGAAAATAGTTAAAATTAAACATAACTTTATAGAGTTGTTACTCACAGATGGCTCCACTTGCAGAACAGATAAATCAGATAACTTGTAGCGTGTGACCTACACACATGTAGTGGAAACACATAATGAAACACACACTTTGTTGGTACTTAACTTCTTTTGTTCACTCTTAGTGTGTTTTTAAGTCTTAACCTCTTATTGAGTCTTAATCATAGGCTAGGAATGCCTAGGATGCAATGTGAATGCCAAAATGCACTTTGGGACTCTTAACAAAACTTGCTGAAAATAGGGGTCACGCTCGAGCGGAAGTGCAAGATCACAAAGTGGTTGCTCGAGCACAGATTATGCCGCTCGAGCAGAAGTGCTAAATATAGAATTTCTAGATTGCACTCCCAAGCTTCAAACTCGAATTACACCCTTCAAAACTCATCTTTTTGGGTCAAATTTCCAGAAAACATTTAGAAACTTGTA